ACAGAGTCTTCAACATGTCTGGAATTGAGACAACTGGTAAAAGTTTGTCTGCTTCACGATGAACGGAGTAGCTCGTCTCGTTGAAATTGCCGGAAATCGTTTCAGTAGTAGTATTAGACCGCGTCGATTTCCTACGTTTTGCTGAACGCCTAGAAGCAGGAGCCTTCATTTGATTTTGTGGCATAATAAGAAAGTGACATATAGCAGATGGATTGAACAAAATGTCGGAAATAGAAATGGGTAAAAAAATGAATACCGAGGACTCAAGATAGTCTGGAAATCAAAACCTATGTTTTAACCAAGAGTGAATGTATCATGAGGATTAGTGAAGGTGTCAAAAACAAGAGATGAGAATTGCAGGAAGATAGTAGTGGAGATGTACTGTGTATATCAGTACCTGTGTGGAGGCAAAATATAACATAAAGGAGCACGTTCTGTAAGTTTTAACATATATATTATACGTAAAGATAGCCTCGTATAATAAATTAATTTAGAAATGTCGATAGTTAGTATCAAACAATCAAAGTGAGTAGGGTATGTGGTAAATATATAAACTGAAAGCTCGCACTAGTAAAAGTTGGGAGGTGCAGAGGTAAGTAGTTTGAAAGATTATTACCGTCTAAGATTATTGTGTTGATTTATGAACAAATATATGAAACAGCTTTTTGGGTAAAAAATACTGTCAAGAAAACTATGACAGACGCACTGAATTAAACAGGTTATTTCAGAAATTAAATGAGTTATAATATCCAACTACGATTTAAATGATAGTACATAAAATAGTGAGTACGATGCTTTATCATACACGATTATATATATTTCTTGAAATTAGGTAGAGGTCTGAATAGATCCTGTAAATGCATAAAGTACGTGGGTTATAATATCCAAACACGATATAATTAAATATTCCTCAAAGAGTAGAATACAGATATGAAATGAAATTCTTCGTCGGATATGATGGTGTATGGTTTAAAAAGTGACAGGGCATAATTTGATCGTATTGCCAAAATGAATAAGATGTAATTATATGATGATGAATTATTGTGTGGATATGATCATAAATACCATGAACAAGTTAAACTCAGATCTAATCATATAGCATGAAATTTACAGTTTATATGTAAATAGTTCAGAGTTATCTTCCGTAATTCCAAGAAAAAATAACTCATCCAGCTCTGTGAGAATCCTAGAAAAAGAAAACTGAGGTCCTTGGCCTAAAAGTAATGTCTAGTCCGTAGCGCGCGGCGTTGACTAAATGGGTTAGCGAATTCTGTCGTGAACCCCTTAAGTATATGTTTTAATAAACCTGTAACTCAGGGTCGATTACCAAAATAATAAAAGAATGCTATTGTAAGTCCTATTTTCGAAACAGGTACAAGACATAAACCTGAAAACTATCAACCTGTTAGCCCAATCAGAATGGTTGTTCAAGTCTTGGAAAAGATTATTCGCACATTGTTTAAGTACTTCGACAGAAACCGGACTCTTTCTGAAAAGCAGTATGGCTTTAGGACAGGTTTTTCATGCCCAACTAAATTAATAATAGCCCATCAAAGTTAGTGCGCTCTTAAAGATCAAAAGCTACCTATAGATGTAAACTACGTTTACTTCAGCAGGGCTTTCGACAAAATTCCTCGTAACCGACTGCTATATGAGTTAAGAATTATCGGGGTTGGAAGCAATCTATTAGTGCAGATAAAAGACTTCCCAGTTGGATGCCAACAAGGAGCACGGGTGGACTCAAAGTTTTCTAGCTGTTAAACTGTGCTTAATGGAATGTCTCAGGATACAGTTTGGGGAACAGTATAATTCCTCCCGTTTGTAAATGCTTTTCCTAGTCTCCTATTATCATCGGTTTTGTTATATGCTGACGATGTCAAGATATGGGGAGCGATAAAAAGTAAAGGTGATAGCTTAGAACTTCGAAATGACCTGGAGAAAATATCTGTGAAAATTATGTGAATGGTCCCGAACTTGGCAGTTTCCGATAAATACTTCCACGTGTATTGTGATGCATATTGGTCATCAAGGTACAGACACATGCATGATAAAAAACAATGAGATACCTGTTGTCCAGATACACAATGACTTAGGAGTCATCGTTAGTCAAAACGTAAAGACTACTGCACACTGCCGTGCAATAGCAGCCAAAGGTTTTAAAACTTTATGGTAAATACGTAAGGCCTTTAGCCATGTTGATGCTGAAACCTTTTGACCCCAGTACTGTATACAATCAGCTAAATTCTGCCAAAATAAGGCATTGAACTGTTTATAAAGGTTCGGAGAACCGCAACCAAGCTGATTCTCGAAATAGTAAGACTCCGGCGTGGAGCTTTACTTCCTAAATTTAACCTATTCCCATTGTCGTATAAAATAACCAATGACGAATTGAACAAAGTTCTCAAACCACTTAGTGATAAATTTGCACCTGATATACCATCACTTCTACTTTTTTCAAAAACAGAGAATTCACGATGGCACTATAAAAGTTCACAACCCCAGAACAAATTAATGTCAAGTGATTATAGACCTTCCCATAGAATCATCAACAAATGTAATTAATTATCTCAACATATGATTAAAGCCTCGTCTATCGACATCTTCAAAAGGAATTTGGTCCAATTGAGAGGCAACCATCGCCAGGATTAACACGGACTGCCTATCCTCCACTATTTTTCGGAACAATGCCGTCAATCTGTTCATTTTCACTCCATATATAACATATGATGTTCAAGATAGTATCTCATTTTTGCTTATCACTATACTAAGTATGTGATTATCAGGACTTTTGATCACCTGAGAGCGTTTTGACTGAAACTTGTTTTAGTATTTTGTCACAATTATTAGTAAACGCGGTATTACAGACTATGGAAGGACAAATCAATACATATACATTTAACATGGAAATGAGTTGTGAGGGCTGTGCTAAGGCCGCGAAGAGAGTTTTAATGACTCTTGGAGGTAAGAACAATAGGAGTCACACCTTAACTCACATTTAGATGCAATTAAGGAAGTCGAGACGAGTGTTGAGAACAATACAGTTACCGTTCAAACCACTTTACCTGTTGATGATGTTTTGCACAAGCTCGAAGAAACGCAGAAGAAGATTGTTTTGGTCACTTCCCAATAATATACAAACTAAATATTCCAGAAATACTTGTTGCTATTAATAAAACCTGTGGGTAGTTGTTAATAGACATGATATACTATCTATATAGTCAACCTCATAAGGTTGGTCTAGTAATTTGTTAGTACGGACTTTAAGATCGTGTGGTATTTCTATATATGAGGTAGTTCACTGCTGATGCTACATATTTTTGTTTAGACATTTATAGTAATTTGTACTCACTAGTCGACCGGATCTGGTCGATTTATTTAGATGTAACGTTTGTAAGGTATGGGAGAGCTGAACAACCAACTAACTTCATTTGTGCCGTATTTTGTCATCAAAACACAAGTGCAAAGAAATCAATCAGTTTATACTAGCTGGTCATAAAACACTGGATAGATAGCTTACTAACCAACCATTAGGCATAAAACAGTTCAAGTTAAAATGTCCAGGTCTTTAAATCGTTCTTAGTAAACTATTTATAAACACCAGACTTGTTTAAGAAGTGGTTCCTTACTTTGCAGGTTCCTTAAACAATATCAAGTACTACAGCAATATAATTAATTGTTGGGTGTATAATATTTGGTCACAAGCGGCGTTCCAATATTGCCCACCAATAACGAAACTACAGAGTGAACAACAATGATGTTAAGGAAAGGATTATACATACAGATGGTATTTAGGCCGAATGAATTTTTAAACATCAACAGGTGGTTGGGCCATGTACGAACCTATCCAGCCACCGCCTCTATGTTGACGGACATATAAATTGAATGAAAGAATAGTATTGGGTGTTAGGTCAAGATATATCGTCAGTACCTGAAACTATAGGCTTTTTGGTCTAGCCGTACTGAGATTCTTGATTGGGGGTTGGTGACAAAATATTAATCACTCGCAGTGGTACATATACCTAAATTCTTTAATGCGCCTTTCAATCTTGAGCCTTATCGTTTTATTCACGCCTTCAAAACAATATTTCCCGTTTAGTTCCCATCAATCGCTAGGTTCTACCCTAGGCTTTTCCGAAACTATTTAATTTTGAGGTTGTAAATCAAACCACCCAGCTCAGAGGATGAAACTCTAACTAAATTTTGTTTCTTTGTGGTGGTGGGTAATGCGAAAGCTTATCTTCTTATAATAGTCTATGACCAATGCACCATCCCAATTCCAACTAATGAACTGGTCTTCACCTATAGAGTTCCATTGTCAGATAGTTGATCTCGAAATTTTATTTTTCTTTCAAACACTCGTGGCCTTATAAAGATAGTAAGGCTTACTCAAAATGGGTTTTGAGTATGAAGGAATCGGTTGTTAGAAATTAGCCATAAGTAAAGAATCTAATTAAGATGTACAATCTTTAATCTGATTCGGGCAAAAAAAGTTGAAGCGTCAGACGATAACAAATTTAAGGAGGCTCTACTACTTATTTTACGATACTAAACTAACGAGTTTTTGTTTTCTGAAAATGACAATATTTTGAGCCGACATGCTGAAATACTATTATTATCCAATTGTGAAATCTGAGATCAAAAGCTAAAATACAGATTGGTGATTGATAAGCGCCACACAATTCCCTAGTAATGGATCAATGCATATATATATATATATATATACGATGTCCTACGTTGCCTACATCTTTCATAAATTTTTAACGATCTGAAGGCAAAACAGATACGTTACAGAAATAATTATATTCAGCAACAAATAAAACGTATAAACAAAATTTTAGTCAATCTTGACAAAAAAATTAAAACATAGTTATTTTCATAGCATACGAAGTTAACTAAACAGATTTTGATAAGAATTTAGAAAAATTCCATGAGTGTGAAAATGTCCAACAAGAAATTTTTTCGATTGAGTGTATATGAAAAGAAATAGTAAGCACATTTTGTCATTCGTTTTTCGTTTTCTTAATTGATTCTGATCTTTTATCATCACCAGTTTGATGAGGCGATTTTATCGATGAGACATGTTCTTTTGCATCATCATTTTCAAAAGATCCTGCGAACCAAAATCCTACTACTAGTATTAAACCAACAAAAATCATAACACTGAACAACGCAATAACTCCAAGCAATATTACGAGGGGTTTCCCGAATTCGTTTTGTAGGTCCTATGGAAAGTGATAGAATAAAACTAAGAATGTAGATACATCAGTCGTCAGTCATAGCAAATAATAAAGGAAACGAAACCTAATATATATTTAATCCATTTCAATACTACTACCAATATCACTTACGTTACCTGGGATGTCTCAATACTTCGTACGTTTAGGTTTGAGTAGTATTGTTTTCTCGTTTGTTTTTAAAACACATACAGAACTCTGCTAATGAGAAAATCAAGGTATCTGTAACTGTATTTTCGTACTTCATACTTGTGATGCACATCCTTGTTGTAGGACGGATTTTAGGGAAGATAACACTTTTGAAACTGTGCAACAGTTTGGGTCCACTGCCACGTACGTAGCGCTCGGAGCGCAGACGGAATGCTACGCTGCTTACCATGAAAAGCGAGTGTACCATACAGCAGTTTGCTCTATATCATTTTACAACTGAAATATCATCTGTAGAAATGAAAAACACGTAGGCTACGAATATTTGACCACAAGTGTCTCCTAAGCGCTGTTTGTGCGTTATACAATTAACAGCGAGACAAGAAATATTGTAGTCGTCAGCTTTTACGTAGAAAACGGTAAGTCAACCCATGAAAAATAAACAATTACAAACTTATTTTGTTTAGATACGTTTTTGGATGGTTGGTTGCCGACTAACACTTGGTGACGTACGTTAAGAAAACAAAAGGGATAGATCTTCACTACATTCGATATTGTTTCTCACAATTTGTTTTAATTTTCTGTCGCGGTGTTCATGTAAAATAATGCTAACTTAAGCAAGCGCACAAAAAGTCCCCGACCGTACGTTGTCTATGATTGGAAGCCTGATGGAGGGAAATGATTACAACTAACAAATGATCAAAATTTCCAGGTAATACAATGTCCTAAAAGAAAGTGTAGCGATAATAGAGCATTATAAAACTTCCCGTTATATAGGTTTCTTTGTGTGTTTATGCATAACATCCTTGGTCACCTCTCAAACATGAAACAAATAAATGGCAATCCAAGTAAAAAAATTGTGGTAGGTACAAAATACTGAAGATAGCTAGTTGACGTAAAAATGGATATACTGATATATATTCACACAAGACCTGATGATGGACTACTGTATAATATGATATCCTCTGTAATGACTAATATAATTAATAGGAGGAATGTCAAAGTGTATGGCTCCATTTTTGGATCTTTTGGAAAGTGGGGATCGTTTTTGATATACATTGTTTAGTTTCCGGTGAGCTTGAAATACTGTAAACTCTGGTGCTTAATAAATTATATTAATTAAGATCGCACATTACAGGCTGACAACAGTTTACTTTTTCTTTTGAGGAGAATCAGCTCCCTCTCCAAATGCTCTTACATGGCCACGCGTATACGGCCACTTCCATGGAAGTCCTACTCACTGACTTCTAGTGGCACGGGTGTTGTTTACGAAACTGAGAGGACGAAAAGCGAATGTCCGGCGCTTTAACCAGGTTGGTAGACACGGAGGATCAACCTAGAGGAGTTGGAAAACCTTCATTCCAAACCAGTGGTGCATATGGGCTCCACGATCCTGAAGGAGAAAATGGCGTATGAATCAATTATTGGTCACCGGCTATCATTAGACTGCATCTCTTTACGTTGATCCACTGCCTTGTGGATTAAACTTGTAAATCAAATGCTTGGAGAATGGGAGACTAAGGAAACCAATTGTTTCGGTTTGGGCACCCGTGCATATATATTTGGTGCCTCTTTGTAGAAATGTTTATGTGTTTAAATAAGCAGATAAACAAATCAGTATAAACAGTAATCACGCAGAAGGAATTATGCACAATTTTCATGACACAACTTATACAATAATTAGTTTGAAAAGGAAATCCTAACTAGCACTTAGATAGTTCATTAGTGTCTCATACCCTTCATCTCTTCCGAAGAGACACAGTATACTCAACTTTTCCAAAAGTTGGAAGCTTAAGACTAATTTTCTATTCAATGTTATCAAAAGTTATTTGAACTATTCCGTAAACCATCCTACCTTTTGATTCAGTCGTCTTTTTTGACAATTGGCTATTATTCCTTTCTTTTTTCTTACTGAATGTTATTAAAATCTACCTAAAGAGTCTAGACAATTGTTTATTAACTAGTGTTATTATTTTCAGAATCCTTAACTAGCGATCCCAAGTTAAAAGCATTCCATTGACTACTTGTAAGTTTACATTCAAATGTACTTCTCATCATATCTAAGGTCTGTTAGACAAGCTGTGAAATAAACATTCAGATGTAGAAAATCCATAGACAGACATAAATTCAATCCGATTTTATTTAAAATCTAACGGATAAAAACAGGAGTCGACTATTAAGAACAAAAACGATTGAAATAATTAAACCGAAAATGTATGGTATAACGAGTAATGTGCGCATCCCTGCACATCCATACGAATAAGTCATGGATAGAAATATAAATTGAGGAAATGTAATCAGCTCATTTAAGTAGTCAATACACATACATGATGATATTGACTATCTATGTTTGAGTATGTGTAATCGATCAATAGGGTTACTTAATTTTTCAATTATTAAACAAAGTCAGTTTTACGGTGAACAATTCACTTCCATTGTATAGTTAAAGAACAATGTTTTGTTATGAACAACTTTAAATAAATACAATGTAACTTTATTTTAAAATATCGTGTATTGGAAAATGATTTAATTATATTACAGACTATTATCGGTGAGATTATAATTTATGGACAACCTTTAAGCTACGCTTAAGTGACCTCGATAACATTCACCTACGTACTAGGGCTAAATGAAGGCCATAAACCAGTGTGAGAAATTCTGATTAATATTTACAATTGATGGTTAGGGCTTTCATCACGAACTGATATGAGCTAAAAGGCCGAAACGCTATTTAGCCAAATGGATGAAGAATTTTGCGCTGAAATTCAAGATCTATTATCGCAAATCTGACTGGTCCGTCCATAAATTATAGTCTCGTCACTGGAATAAGACAAAAGTACCAACTCAATAATTGCAAGGTTAAGTGCTCATTGTGAGGTTCGAGTTCGATCTCAGATGGGATCCTGTATTCTCATTGTTGGTGAGTTCTATGCTAAGATGAAACACTTGCCAAGCGTCTCACATAGACTGCCTATAAACTTTTAACCAGAACTGTTAGATATTGACAAGTAGACTACATATAAAGACCCTTAATATATCACTTACCACAGTAAATCCAACAAGAGCATCGACCATTTCATCACTGAAAGAGATACGATGTAGTTCTTAAAAAAATACAAAAACGTTATGGTACTTTGCGTAAAAAGAAACAAAATATGGGTGGATAGATGGTGGCTCGTAGTAAAATCTAAGATGTGCGTTTCGTCCCGTTTGGGACTCATTAGCTGGATGTAGTCGCATATTAGGATATGGACCATACCTATTTTCATGAGTAAAATGGTCGCGAAAAAACAGTAGCAGGTACGTTACTAAAATAATATTTAGCAAGGAGAAAGTACACTTAGAAATTCAGATAACAGAAACTGTATACACAGTGTAATTCGACTGCATATTATCATTACAATAAACGAACGATATCCTACCTTATACTAGACTTGATAAAATATTCCCTATAGTTATGAGTAAGCGGAAAATAGTTTGTAATGTGTTGAATAATGAGAGCTTGAGATTTTCACTCAAAATTGTGTCATTCTGGATAGAAAGAATTAGAATAAGTTAGTATTGGAAACGACATTTTTACGCTTTACTTCAACTTATCTTATTGTAAACAATGAAGTTTATCAACAAAGGAATAAAACTTTCAAAAACAACTTTTACATGTTACACAATCCTCAAATCTCATAACGATGAAGCGTATTCGACCCAATTCGGAAACTTCAAAGAGTTATTTTTTTAGGTTTCAGCTATTAGCAAATAATCCACGTTGTAAATCTTTCCTATTTCCTCCTTTAGAATCCCTACATAGTTAATCGATGAATCAACAACCATACGAATGATTTTTCTTCAGATTCTTCAACAATTATTGTCACTGATGAATGTCGTTAATGTTTCTAGTTTGTGAATAGTTGATACAATCCCATAAAATAAATAACTCCTTGTTATTTTGCTACGATTGTTCTTCTTGCTTTGTTAAAAAATTCGTCATAACATATTTATGAATGCTACATACTTTTGGAAAGAAAAACGAACTCAAGTCAACAGAACTGGGACAATAAGCCAAAAAAGCAACTTATCAACATACACACTTACAACATCATACGTGGGCGTGGAATTGAACCTTTAATATAATTTGGATAGCCAGTAAGCGCAAATTGGGTAACTTGCTCATAATCCATTCGATGTAGATTTTTTGAATATTGATACATGGTGGATTGTTTTAATCTAATGAAAGTTGGAAAAATTCGCACATCAATATTGCGACGGTAAACAATATATATATATATATATATATATATATATATATATATATATATATATGAGATGGCGGGGTAGTTTCTTAGGCCATTTGGATAATCATATTGGAGGTAGGTTCTCTAAGCTGAACGGTTTAATTGTGAAGTCTTCAATGTTTTCCTAGAAAAAACATCAGTACAAATTTCAAATAGAAGTGAACTATTCGAATTTCTTCACAAGTTACTATTAGTTTATCCCATAGACCTTAGATCTAATTGGTTGTTGACAATTGTCATTGTTTGCAGGTTTACTTTGATCCTATAGCTGTTCATTTTTCTAATCAATCTGAATAGTTCTGGCGTGAATTCTGTAATTATTATTTTTCAGAATATAAAATTATTATTATTATTATCTGGAGTTATTTTTTGTCGTTTAATTAATGAATACTTCGGCTATTGTACTCTCCTGTTTGTGAAACATAAACTGCTGTCACATGATGTACCTTTCTTAAATTACTGGTAATCTATTACTCAGTTCTTTTTCACTTATGGCGTAGTATGCTAATGTGTGGTCAGGATTTTACTCTATATGATTCAGATATTTGAAATGTATAGTTAGAATTTTTCTACCAACTATGTTATGTTCTACTCTGGGTATTGGAATAGCGTGGCATAACTACACTCTGGACCAACAATCGTTAAGTATTGATCTCAGATGTTTTCTCACTATCATTATGTTATTGGTTAGTAGAAGGCGATTATCAATAGATAGATATTTCAGGTGAGCTAATCAATACTCGAACTAGACTGATGCAAATGTTTTTCTGTATTATGATCCCATTACACCGACTCTAAAATAACTCAGAAAATTTGTTGGTTTTTTTACCGTCACATCAGGCAATTATCAATTATGTACTGATTGTGATTCCATATTTATGGTGCGTTGTAGTCTTGTAATTGATAGATATAATTTTCATTTGGTTTATCGAATCATAAAATATAAAGAGTACGTCAACTGACTTTTCTGTTGTTCTGATCAATATCAGCTTAATCTTAACAGTCAATTATGATTAACTGTGTAAGAGGACTCAATCGCTTAATGATCCTATTAGATTGGTAGATAGAAAGTTGAATTCATGGGAAAAAAACAATGAAGTATCCTATCAAGATTCGTATACTAAAGAAATAAAGACCAAGGGTGTATAATTTGGATCAAAACTATGTTTACTGATTAATTATTACTTGTATAAGTCGTCTTAAAACACAATGGATATCTCGAATATTTAGATAAACACAATTCTATCAAACAATTTAATTTGCAAACATATTCTATTCTTATCAGAAGGGTTTTGTAGATATATTATAGTAATGTCAATGGCTGAGATCATGAGAAGCAGTGATCATTGGAGTTCAACCGGGTCTGTTGTGAGATGGTAACTCACTGAAAACATTTGTGGGTGCGTCGCTGAATTTCGTGGATTGGTTAAAATTAGACAATAACAATGTTGGATGCCGACTCAATGGTCTAGTGACTAAGCGCTTGCGCGCGAGACTGTTAGGTCCTGGGTTCGAATTCTGCGAGGCGAGGTCGTGGATGCACACTTCTGAGGAGTCCCACAATAGAACGAAATGGCCGTCCAGTGCTCCCACGTTTTCCATGGTGGTCTAGCTTCAATTGACTCATGATCTCAACTATTGAAATTAATATTTTATTCTGTTTATACATATTGATCTAATTCAAATTATAAAAAAAAAGTTTCGAATGTTAAAATGACATTTATCTTATCAGTGGTAGTTAACACATTAACCTAGTATAATGTACACTATTTGTTGCCGTAATATGATTACGAAGAGAAAACAATGTATAGTGGTTATTTAACATTAACACACGTATAGGATACAAAGAGTATAGAGATTAAATTCGATAAAGCACACACTAACAAGCTAATTGATTATGTACCTGCATTCATATATACAGAAAAACATACAAACAAATATTAGAAAATTATGAGGTATGGTAGAGTGGAAATCAGAAAAGATTTCAGTATTAAACAGGAATGACGAGATACTTCATATATAATGAAATATAGGAATATTTAATTGCACAAGCAAGTGGCTATCAGGACTCAGTAGCTAAGTGGATAACGCGATGGCGTTTGAAGCGAACGGTACTGAGTTCGAGTCCCAGAGTGAACATCAACTCTGAGATGCAGGTACATCCAGCTGACGAGTCCCAAACAGGACGAAACGCGCGTCCTGGATTCCACTGCTAGCCACTATCCATCTTTGCTTATAATATTTAATTTTTGTTTTATGAGAAATATAGTGACGGAGTTAAGAAGTGTGTTTATGAGAACGAAAAACTAGTGAATAAAACAGATATATTGTCTGTAAGCTGGGTTACATTAGTTTATTCTTCGTCACTCATATGTTTTATAACTAACATGAAACCTATGTTCAGGGTTCCTTGAACACTATCTCAGATCACCTAGCATTTGTATAAAGTAGAATATAATGAAAATATAGGACCATTCATATAGAGTCTAATCTATCAGTAAGTGTTATTATATGAGTCTGTTCACTTGAATTCTGTCTAGATGACGCAGCATACATGTATGTGATGACATAGGATGTGTTTAAATTCGATAACTGACTCTGTAAGATGAAAAACTCCATTGTATTGGTAATATTACTCACTCTTCTATGATATGAAATAGGCACTAAATGAAAAAATATAACTATAAATAGACTTTGAAGATCAAATGTGAAGAAATCAATAAGGTTTATCAAATCTCCTCATTCACGCTCTATTGTTAGAAGAACTGAAAATCAACCAGTAGGTTTGGGATATACAAAGTAAAACTTGATACATATGGATCGATTAGGCCTATGGAAAAAGGAAGTAACTATAAGATTTCAAAATTAAAAAACTAAGGGGAGACAAAGTGGATGCATCTGTACCATCCCCAATTAGATGATCTGCACCGATTATAACAAATGACTGATTAACATAACATTATGAAAGTGTGCTTTTTAAGCAATAATATATCTAAAGATGATCATTACAGTCATGTTTTTTGCAAAGTATTACAAATAAAATTTCTAGTTAATTAGCATAAATCAATTGTACTAGCAAGGGGGATTAGAAGTTTGAAGAAAAAGTGCAAATCGATGATTATTGATCACAAAAAGAACAATAATGAATGAGAAAATATATCAGTTTTATCGAACTGGGTGTTGCATATTGTATTACACTTTCTCATAAGTTGTGGATGAGTAACTCCAGTTGGTTAAACGACTAGGCTTCAACCAAAATATCACGAGTCAGTCAATTATAAGTACTAAAGGACCTGGTATATGTGCACATCAGTTCAAGTTGATACGGAATGCGATGAAGACACCAAGACTAATATCATAGTGGTAAAAGTAGCTGCGGTATTATTGATAGTAGAACACATTGAGGATAGAGAATATTACTTCGAGGAAGGGACGAATATGTCGGGTAAAAGGTATGAAATAGTTTCGGAACTCGAAATCTAAATAGGAACAAAAATTAAGTGTATCTGCGCCGTTATAACCAATTCTGAGACATATCACCACACGTTTTTAACTATTGCTTACGATGATTGCGCAGACCACAACCAGATAGTATGTACCTGTCCATACAATCCGAGTCAACGGTTAATGGGTTCGAGTACAGATTCCACGTCGTGGTTTAGCCACCTCTAGTTTACTTCCAACCTACTCATATACCACTAAATATCTCACAGAACATAGGTCCGAACTCAGACGCACTTAATTATTTCAATTTAGGCAACCAGATCTTACTGTTCTCATCTATTAAAAATCTAGACCAAAACTTACAGCATATAAATCCGTGCGAAGTAAATCAGTTAAAAATTTTTTATAATTAACAACTACACTGGAATACAATATTAGGAGATTAAAATTTAAATAAGAATTAACTCATTTTACTAGGTACTTGGGTATGAGCCACACTCTTAATGTGAGAGTTGATAATATAACCCGGTTATCTAGACCAAAGTAGGTGGAACACAGGGTTATTTATCCAAAAAGATACTGTTGAAATAATGTGAAACTTTACCAAAAATCAATTTTATTCGATAACTCAACACAAACAACTGTATCACAGTGAGAAATTCTCATGAATAATTGTGCAATAATTCAACAAATTTCTAGGTATCATTACTAACGTTTGACTTGATAATTTCAAGTAAATTGAGTATTGGGGTAGATTGTTATAAATAAACATAATGTATTTGTAATATCTCAATGAGTAAGAAAGTTAAATATTTTGACGTTTCATCACTCAATGTAAGCCACTTCATTAGAGAATAAATAACCAGATTAAATTAACCCAAGTAGTAATACGTAGGAAACTATTTAAAATTGGGTTAATTTAATGTGGTTATTTATTCTCTGAAGAATCGGATTATACTGGGCGACAAAACGTCAAAAGATTTAATTTTAATACTCATTATGGTATTACAAATATATTACTTTTATTAACAACCAATTTATGTTTCACTGGTTGAAATTATGAGTCAATTGAAGCTAGACCACCATGCAAAACCTGGAAGCACTGGACGGCCGTTTCATCCTAGTATGGGACTCCTTAGCAGTGCGCACCCACGATCCCGCCCACCGCGAGATTCGAAATCAGGACCTATCAGTCTCGCGCCAGGCGCTTAACGAACTAGACCACTAAGCCGTCATCCAACGGTGTTAATATCTAACTTCAACCAATCCACGAAGTTGCGCCACCGTACACCATTGTCTTCAGTGAGTTCCTATCTCACAACAGACCTGGTTGAACTTCACTGGCAACGGCTGAAGAGTCCCATACTAGGACGAAACGGCCGTCCAGTGCTTTCAGGTTTTCCACGGCGGTCTAGCTTCAATTGACTCATGATTTCAACCAGTGAAATTTCTAAAATCTCCACAAAACCCATTCTGATAAAATTTATGTTTGATAGGTATTTTATTTGTTATTTGTTGAAAAAAATGTTCATTATCCGTTACCCACACACAATCATAAAAATTAATCTACCAGTTTAGCTACTAGAATCGTATTATCCCCCTTATTATATATAAAATGCATGAATCTCAATGTACTAATTTTTTTCCTGCATAGGATAGAGAAAGGTGAAATTAGTTAATAAGTGCAATGCTCTCGTTTGTATCGCATAATATTTAACATTCTAATTAGTTGTAAGTCATTTTGTTAAGAAAAAACAACAGGTGTAATCATAACACTATTCATTGAAAACAAATCTAGAACAGGGAAGTTATTAGTGCATTTCTTTGCCACGGTTAAAAAACCAATAGTCTAACATATTTTATGAGATCACCTCGTTTTTTTTCTGTTTTCACATAAATTACCATTAAGGTTGATAAATTATTGTAAGATTTGGAAATTATGAATTAAAAGCTAAGAAACAAAACACATCACTATAATTTCTTATCATAGCGAGTAATGAATACCCTATTTTTACCAATGTTCTGTTGTGAATACAATTTACTTACTTAAAACAATTTCAGTAGTATAACTAATATCGAGGCAAATATCCATTAGGATGATTGTCTGAATCAAAGCTGGTCATGATTCGCAAATTTAGTTTCTATTTTTAACGATGACCTACGGTATTTGATGCATATATATAAATTGATGTGTGGTAGTGAGAATAAAATATGATTGGCCATTCAGCCTGGACAAATTAAATATGTAATTTCCCTTCCTGTCATTGATTTCTGCTCCGGACTCACTGAAAGGGACTGCTTGTAACTGTGTCGAATAAAGTATTATCTAATTTGTACTCTAGTTTTCCATTCTGGGTTGTGGGTCCTGGTTCTGGTATGATTTTAACAGTCTAATTGTTGTATTGTAGAAGTATACGTGAGAGAGAAAAAGTATTTTAAGCCATCCGTTATATCATGTATACTATATTATATGTAAATAGCGTATAAAGTGACTATTCATGATAATGCAAATTTATACAACTTAATGTACAAATCATGTTGGATTCAGTGTATTTGGTCTCGAGCTATGACTTTTTGATTTTCCACCTAGAGACAAACTATTCCGTTAGCCAATTCCATGTTCGAAGAAGCATATAGCTATGACATTAGACAAATTAATCATTATAAGAAAAAAATGTTAAAAATATATTTGGAAGAAGTCAAATGTTTTAACAACTACTTACAAGATTGCTGAAATTAGAGGATTATTCTGAGCAGAATCCGATGGTACGCTGATATTGAAACGTTTAGCTGTACGCGTCGACTGTTTCGGATCAAGAATGCCTATATTTACATGTTTTGCGCGTAAACTATAAAAATTATGAAATATGATTTTAAGCATTATATAAAGGAAATGAGAGTAATGTTTATAAGTTATTATTGGAAAGAGAGAGAGAGAGGGAGAAAGAGGATGATTCACAGAATTTAGTAGAACTTTTACTTAAGCGATATTTCCTGTACATCAATGTATGATTCATTTGTCAAATCCAAATAATTTGAGCAGTATAATTGTATTGATAGCAATTAATCGTTGTTATATTTGTGAAATATGTGCGAAAATTTCAATTACAGAAATGTACTGTGTAATAATCAAAAATAGTGAAGTTTAAATAATTTGAGAATAATCAGTTATCCACCTAAAAAAGGTAGGGGAACGGGTTAGGTCTATGATTGGACATAGCAAATTCATGGCGATTAGCCAAGATGATGCTTAATTACGATTGAACTGAGATATTCTTATGGTATCGCGCTGGACACACACGAAATCGGTAGACCAGACGACTGATACAAAACACTTCAACAACAATCCACAACACGACGAAAAGGAGTTCAGGAAAAGCTTAATATTCAATATTCCAAGCTTGAAACAAGACAACTATGTATATACAACAACAAAACATAACTTTAGGATACATGGTCGAATGCCCCCAAATGCCCTAGTACGGCCGAGAGTGGGGAGAGTCCGCTCTCCCTCTCGAAATGCTCTCACATGGCCACATGTATACAGCCACTTCCACGGAAGTCCTACTCACTGACTTCTAGTGGCACGGGTGTTGTTTACGAAACTGAGAGAACGAAAAGCGAATGTCTGGCGCTTTAACCAGGTTGGTAGACACGGAGGATCAACCTAGAGGAGTTGGAAAACCTTCATTCCAAACCAGTGGTGCATATGGGCTCCACGATCCTGAAGGAGAAAATGGCGTATGAATCAATTATTGGTCACCAGCTATCATTAGACTGCATCGCTTTACGTTGATCCACTGCCTTGCGGATCAGACCTTTGGGTCGAAGGCTCCAGGTGTGGCTCCCTAAGAAAACCATCTCCTTCGGTCTGAACACCCGGGCAGTATCACAGCCCACACACAAGTCACTTGGCTTGTGTGGCGCATATGTATTCGGTGCCCCTTTATACCAATATTTGTGTCCAAATAAATAATAAATACGTCACTGGGCCAAAACCTGATGTGTCATGTGATACTGAGCTGTGACTGGTTAGTGAATGAAGAGAGACAGGCCCATCCTATAATGTTTAGCATAAGTCCCTACCTTCATATTATATCTCTGACGTCTTTGAGGAGTCTGCCCTGTGTAAACTGCTAGATTCTTGTTAAACAAAACACTGTCTGATCCATAACCTGGTTCTCAGTTGTTCATCATGAGTTGTGTAGTTAGATATGACGCTACTTCGCCGTTACTCTCGTGAAGGAGCATAGCCGCTCACCAGCATTCTCCATCCAACCCTGTCCTGGGCAATCCTTTCTAGCTCCGTCCAGTTGTAATTCATCGTTTTCATATCTCTTCTATTATCCGACGCAATGTGTTCTTTGGCCTCCCCTTCTCCGCTTCCCTTCAGGATTCCACGTTATGTCTTGCCTCGTGATGCAGTTTGACGATTTGCATAATGTATGTCCTATCCATTTCCATCGTCTTTTCCTAATTTCTTCTTCAGCTGGAAGTTGGTTTGTTCTCTCCCACAGAAGGCTATTGCTGATGGTATCCGGCCAATGGATGTTGAGTATCTTGCGTAGACAGCTATTTATAAATACTTGTACTTTCTTGATTGTGGTTGTTGTAGTTCTCCAAGTTTCAGCTCCATACAGTAGAACTGCCTTGACGTTCGTATTGAAGATTCTCACTTTGATATTGGTTGAAAGTTGTTTTGAGTTCCATATGTTCTTCAATTGTAGGAATGCGACCCTTGCTTTGCCGATCCTCGCTTTTACGTCTGCATCGGATCCTCTTTGTTCATCGATGATGCTTCCCAGGTATGTGAAGGATTCTACATCTTCCAGAGTTTCGCCATCAAGTGTGATTGGATTGCTGTTCTCCGCTTTGAATTTGAGGACCTTAGTTTTCCCTTTGTGTATGCTGAGGCCTACTGATGCAGAGACTGCTGCTACACTGGCTGTCTTCATCTGCATCTGTTCGTGTGTACGTGATAGTAGGGCTAGGTCATCTGCGAAGTCCAAATCGTCTAATTGATTCTGAGCTGTCCATTGTATTCCGTGTTTTCCTTCAGATGTCGAGGGCTTCATAATCCAGTCGACCACCAGAAGAAAGAGGAAGGGAGAGAGTAAACAGCCTTGTCTGACTCCAGTTCTTACTTGGAATGCATCTGTCAGCTGTCCTCCATGCACTACTTTGCACTGTAGTCCGTCGTATGAGTTCCGGATAATATTGACAATCTTCTCAGGAATTCCGTAGTGTCGAAGAAGTTTCCATAATGTCCTCCTATCTACACTGTCGAATGCCTTTTCATAATCAATGAAGTTGATGTATAGTGATGAGTTCCACTCAACTGATTGTTCGACGATGATCCGTAGTGTTGCAGTTTGGTCTGTGCACGACCGATCCTTACGGAATCCAGCTTGTTGATCTCGAAGTTGGGCGTCTACTGCATCCTTCATCCGGTTCAGCAACAATCTGTTGAAGACTTTCCCTGGTATTGACAGTAGTGTAATGCCTCTGTAGTTTTCACATTTGCTCAGATCTCCTTTCTTTGGAATCTTGACGAGGTGTCCTTCTTTCCAGTCCATCGGCACTTGTTCCTCCTCCCAAATCTTTTTGAATAGAAGATAAAGCATATGACGCGATCCAGTATATATCTAGTGTATCGAGTCGTGGTATTATCTTGTTATATTTATATCCTGAATGCAAAAACACTTGACTACTTGGTTACTTCATTAATATAAATATTGCTCAGATAAAAGATAACTGGTACACACAAGAACATAACAAGTCTTTTATGAATTGATAAGAAGAACATATTCCAAAGTTACAAGTTGGATCCAACAGATTAGTGTGTTTTTAGATATTATTGTAGTGAACAGAACACGGGTGGGGACAATCGAATGAATTTAGCACAAAATTACAGAGCATCTCAATAAAATCTGAAAACCATATAGTAAATCGTCAATTTGCAAAATATCAATCCATCATATCCAACTGGACTGTTCCTGTTGCAAACATCAATCCATTGTCCATGCGTTTTCATACAAATTGCATAGTGTTCTTGCTCTTCTTTCATTTTCTGCTGCCAGACATTACGTTTTTAACTCGCGTCATATACTACTTACATCAATATAAGTAGCACACACCACATTATTACTGTGGAGAATGACAAGTCATCCCATTATTATTATTACTAACTATCTAATGTGATTATATGAATAAGTATTTGTTTTGTGTGCATGTATGTGTCGTCTTAACGCTCGTTCTGTAATGTAAGTAGCTCCAATAAAAAAATTTCCTGACATTATATTTCAAGCAAATTATTCTTTTTATAAATGAATAATTCAATTATACAAATGAATACAATTGTAATATGTATCTTGTTAATAGTGAATCATTTTACTCATATGTATTCTTGTTATTTTAATTAACATAAATAAATAAATAATAGATGAACTTATTGTATACTGATCGACCACGGATAAGTAGTGAGTGATCAATGTTAACATTGTCTAGTCTTTATTTTACTAATCTAATTCTATTTGATCATGTTACGATGTAAGTACTAATATAAGTAATTCAGTGTTAAGTGTGTTATGTTTTGATATTCGGTTGACAAGAAATTAAGGGTTTATGTTTAATGTTAGTTGACATTCATTAATAATGAGTATTTACTGTCTTTTGAAAGAACTGATGTTTGTCATAGCATTGGGAACCAACACCAATTAAAGTCGCAGTTGGAAAGGCTAATACTGATCTATGAAGGAAGTGACTGAAATTATATGGTATGGGAAACCATGAAACTAGTGGAATTCAACTGTACTGAAAAAGTGATAGATATTACTGATGTGATAGAAGGCAGTAGCGAAACTATTGAATATTAACTTAGTGGTCAAACCCAAGGATTTTAAATTCCATCTCTGGTAGAGCAACTAGTGTGCACTGGTAAAAAGCCGCTTTACTGCTATGGCGAAGTAATCAACTGACGCTTGAATTTCAATGGGTGTGATGTAAAATACATTTGCTAAGAACAAGAAGTCCGACATTCAAATAAACGATGTTATTCGGTTCTTTCGACAATGAATCTGAAACAGGTTTTCAAGCACTCAAATGAGTAAGAAAGTTATTTTTGACAGAAACAGAAAGAAAATAGGATTCTAAAATCCCTCTGACGTATGTTCTATTGTAATTACTGGCTATCGCTTGAACTTTTAGATGACTTTGTAGAAAAAACGAATGTTAGGTAATGTTGTTAATGGATATATATAAATAAGGCTAATGACACTAAAATGTTCATTACTTACGTTAACGACAATCCATCGTAGATCTGTAAGGTGTCTGGTGTGATCTCATCACTTTATAACGAATAGTTTTCGAGAAAGAAAATAGAATAAAATAGTTTTTATAAACAGGCAAAGTTACATATTGAGAGAAAAGGACAGTTTAAAGGAGAACCTGAAAATTCGAACTCCAGTTGTCATTATTTCTTACAACTCCACAAACCCTACACATTGATGTTTAAACTCACTTGAATAGAGAGAGCATCAGTAACTGGCTAGCCAATTTATACAGTTTTTGACAATAAAAAGCTAGCATTATCATTTAGAATGGCTAAAACACTATTGTCAGAGTCTTGGAGCCGGATGAAATTTCATCATATCGATCCCGCTGATTGCCTTCAGTTTATAATAAAGGATAGAGATCCTAAATAGTATCTATGGACGAGGTTAGTTTGACTAACAAATTCTCAAGAATTTTGTCTTATCAAATTATTTGAAATATAATTCACTTAAGTTGGTTTTATACTTTGTTATCTGGTCAACTTTGTTTAAACTAATATATCTTGGTAACCAATTACAAGCTTAAGTTAGTTATTTATTTAAACACATAAATATTGGTATAAATTGGCACCAAAATAAATATGGGCCACGCAATAAGAGGATGGAACTGTTAAGGAATGGGGGAAGGGGTATAAGTGTGATCAAAAACAATAAACGAATGAGAGTTGTAAATAATAATAATAATAATAATAATAATAATAATAATAATAATAATAATAATAAAAATAATAATAATAATAATAATGGGAGAAGTTCGACTGAGGAAATACAACCAGAAAGAATTCGTTCAGTTAAAAAGTTTTTCGTGTTTATGAAGTAAAAGGAAATTATAACATGACCGCCACTGACTTTTATTCTAAGTCATATTTGATAACGTCTTAAAGCCACTGAGCTGCACTATTTCTAGAGCTTCAACAAGGGAGTTGTGAAGCACTGACAGTGCTAGTCCTGTACATCATTTTGAGAGAGTTAAACGGCTTAACTGTGTCTGAGATTTAGTGATGATACTACCCAACTGCATAAACCGGATGTACCAAGGCTTTAAATATGCTTTAGCTACTAAAATATTTACTATTAGATGTTTAGCTCAAAAGGGTGATTTTGTTGATATTGCGTTCTCTGAGCTAGAGATAGTTTAGCCATGAGGCTTCCATTGTCACTCTAAACAACGTAATCAGGATAAAACTTCAGACCAAAGTAATTTATGAGGATTTCTTCACAAGAGACTAACAGATTGCTTGTGCTCGTGATGTTGTGTCTAGATAGACAATGAAAGCTTTATGACTTAATTAGCAATAGCACAGGGAACGTAATTTCAACCAACCTACTTATTTGAAGAGGTTTCTGTGGGAACTGTTGAGATATGTACGTTACATCATGGAATAATCTAAGTTCAACATTAAATGAAAGCCAGAAAGCACTGAACAACTGTTTCACCACGACATGGGATTCCGCAGCAAGATGTACTCACGACAGCACTGAGAATGGGACCCATGATTTTCGGTCTTACAGCGAGCGCTTAGCCTTTAAATTACTAACCTACAGCAATTAATAATCATATTCTCACTAGCGAATAACTTTAAGAGGTATATCCAAGAGTCTTAGTGAAGAGTCATGACAAGTGGCGTTTAACCATGGCGACAGTAAGGCAATTACTCAACAATGCCATTAGAAAATGGTTATGTAATATCGCAAGTTGATTGAAACAAACACATAAACTATTGAAAACTGACTCAGTGATCTAGAATTTAAGTGTTCGCTGTCTGATCGAAAATTCTGAGTTTAATCCCCGGTAGGGTTGTGAACGCACACTTTTACTGAAGAGTCTTCTATCAGGGAAAAACGACTGCCCACTGCTTCCAAGTTTTCAACAGATCTTTAACTAATGTTAGTACCTAGGGTAAATTATAAAATTCTAATTATTTCTACCTTTTATTTCTTGTTTTAAACTTTATACAACTAATAAGAAAACGATAATTCTACTACTACAATTAATAATTAAATAAATCCTAAGTAGCCGATCAAAGAAACTGACGTAATAAATTGTTGAACTTGATTATTCAATTTTTAACCTAAGTATAACAGAAAGCACAGATTAATTGATAAGAAGTTCTAACGAGATTTAAGTGTGTTAATAATTCTCTGATTGACATAATAACTAAACAAATAGCTCAAAGAAGAGAACTTTAAAATTCCAACTTTAGTGAAATAGCATACACTAACAACTAATGCGTACAACAATAGCGCACAAAGTTGTTATGACGTAACAAATACAGTAGGAGCTGAGATTGGTTTTTTCAGATTATTATTAGTAATAAATTTGATTATTACGTGACTAGATTACTATGTATATGTATTCCTTTTATCATAAGTTTTCGATTTACCCATCATATACTGTTATGTGATTAAATGTTCCTATTTCATTGCCAGTTTGTTACTTACAGTTTCCCTGACAGACATTTTACGCTCGCTCATGTATAATTATTACTTCTCAATCTATGGTGTGAAGTAGTCTGGCCGGTTGCTACTTCTAGATTCAATACTGGGCTTAGAGAAGAGCTAGCGAATAGTGGACTAACAAGAACCTAACTTCCGGCTGTTCGACCGTGCATTGGCGAAATCCGATCCACTAAGCTGTAAAGTAAATAGTGGGCACGAAATAGACTAAATTAGAATCTTTGTGACTTAGTAACCAGAATATTTAACAAAAATACAAAGTGAACATGGTACCATTTCATCTAATATGGATGGAATATTTTAACAAGAATCGATGTCCTATCCAGGGACTTTCTGATTGATTTAGAGCGAGCTAATGAACTAACTTCAATTGTTGAAGATGACAACGCAGACTTTGAATAGGGTCATGAAGTATGGTATGTGTTTCTCTCTCTCTAAATGGGAAATTTTTCTCCAAGATGGGTTTGTATCAATGTTTAGCCTAAGTATAGGAAGTAGAGTAATTGAGTGTTTTACCCGCTTCACGAGACTTTAAAGTGTGGTCGGCGCAATAATCGTGATCAGTGGTAGATTATTTCAAATAACACAGTCCGAAAGCCATTCGAGTGAAAGAGATGCATTCATTCTCTTATGTTACTCCTTGATCCAGTTATTTATCTTTAAAGTATATTTTCCATGTTTGACTTTCGATATTATCAATGGTACTACTATTGTTCTGATCCTTTTTCTTCCCTTTAGTTATGCTGATGGTACATAAAATAGCATCACGGGTCAATGCGTATTTGGGCAAGTTCTATCTTGTTTGTGACTAACTGATCAATAAAACTGTACATTATTCGATCGAAATATAAATCTCAAGTGATTAAATAACACATCAAGAAACTTACAAAATAACAAGCCAGTTGCCCGTTGTCGAGCCAGTAGAGGCCTGAGTATCGTGTTCAAAATTAGCATCATCTAATCTAGCTGACTGCACACCTGTAGTAAACTGATGCATAGCGTTAATAAGATGAGCGCGATGGAGTGGACCTTTAAAAGAGTAAAAATTAAGTCTTTATTGGTGAATGTGATGATTAATCAGTAGCAAATAAACTTAAATAGTGTAAATCATATATTTTTTTAACACATATATTGTTCCGACATCCACGTTGAGCTTTAATAAAACATCAGAGAATGCTATTAACACGATGATGCCCCCAAATGCCCTGGTACAGTCGAGGATGTGAAGAGTCTGCTCTCCCTCTCGAAATGCTCTCACATGGCCACGTGTATACAGCCACTTCCATGGAAGTCCTACTCACTGACTTATAGTGCCAGCGGTGTTGTTTTAGAAACTGAGAGAACGAAAAGCGAATGTCTGGCGCTTTAGCCGGCTTGGTGGACACGGAGGATCCACCTAGGGGGGTTGGGAAACCCTCATTCCAAACCAGTGGTGCACATGGGCTACACGATCCTGAGGGAGAAAATGGCGTACGAACCAATTAGTGGTCACCGGCTATCATTAGACTACATCTCTTTACGTTGACCCACTGCCTTGCGGATCAGACCTTTGGGTCGAAGGCTCCAGGTGTGGCTCCCCAAGAAAACCATCTCCTTCAGTCTGAATACCCGGGCAGTATCACAGCTCATATACAATTCAAGTGACTTGTGTGGCGCATATGCATTCGGTACCCCTTTGTACCAATATTTGTGTCCAAATAAATAAATGGAATGATGTATAAACTGAGTACAGTGCTTTCACATTTCGTTCGAAATGAGTAAACATCAACTACTCGTAACTTAACGGGAGGCAGGAAAATTCAAGTGTGCATAGTTTCTCAAACTATGCGTTCTACAGCAGTTTTAAGATTTTACGGTTACTGATGTTAACATCAGCAAGTCAGAGAATTTTGTGATTTGTCTTGACATGAATTATTACTTGATCAAGTTAAGAAAATTAACTTGTTGTCACTAAATTTTTTAACCAGCGATGTATTTAATCTAAAAAATGTTTTAAGCAACAAAAAGTTGACTAGATCGACGGGTCGACAGTAAGTTCAACAAAAGACAATTTAACTGTTAAATCGAATGACATAAACCCAGCACTCAAATTTGAGCTCATTACAGATAATGGCAAACGGGAATGTTAGGACTATGTTTGAGTTAACAACGATACCACATATTTGACACAGATGAATGTTACACAATTGACGAATCGAGAATTTTCGAGTCCTAAAATGTACACAAACCAACTTACCAAGATAAGGGATTTTCCTTTCATTGTTTAAAAACAGTATAGCTGGGGCAGAAAGCATATTAATCCAAGGAACAGTCATATCATTGAGATGAAAAATATCACCTTACAACATGAAAGATTCAAGTTAGGAATTTCAATCAATATACCACTGTATAGAACGTCGGATGAAATTTCATTAAGGAGTTTCTTGTGCATATGGCAGTTATGACAGTTATCAGGAACTGGATGAAGAATATTATCAAATTAACAGGATGTATTACTTATGAATAGAAGTGCAGCATTTGACCCTTCTGTATATTCGGAAAGATCAATGTTTAAAATATCATGTAGAGCGACAGTTTTTAAGTCACCTGAGAGTCCTAATGAGAGAACAGAGAATAAAAAATAAAGTAACACGTGTCTGATTGCGGTCATCCCGCGACCTTGAGATCAAATAAGGCTACAGTATCTGGCATGTTTGGAAACGCTTCAGTGGCATAGTCCACTGAAGTCTTCAGTAATAAGGATAGGAGGTTGGTGAACCTATTTTAATCCTGACAGATCGCCTTTCAGTGAAGGTCCAGTTTCTCCTTGAAAATATTCACCGGTGAGGCTGATACCACTTGTTCGGGTAAGGCATCTCAGTCATTGACTACTCGATGAGGAAAACGGGACTCCACTTTAAGTTTGTTAGATCGCGGTTTATGAACCTTCTTTCTATAATCTCGGAGATTACTAGTGCTGGAGGGAGCAAAAAGATAAGACATATTAACACTCAAACCGTAATTGAAGATACGAAATGCCAGTATAAGGTCACCTCGCGTCCTACGATACGACAAGGGGAAAAGGTTTAGGCGTTTTAAACGCTCATCGTAAGGGAGTTTAGAAGGACCCTTCACTAATTTCGTTCTTACACGCTGGACACACTCAGGCGAGTTAGTATCCTTTACCAGACATGGGCTAGCTGCTTGGATACAGTACTCTAAATGTGGTCTTACATATGTGTGATATAAAATTCGAAACACTTCCTCGTCAAAAGATTTGAACGAGCAGTGAAGTCAAGCATGAACGTTTGTTACGAAATCCGTGTCGCTCAGGGGCTAACAGATTGTGTATATCTATGTGGCTTAGCAACCTAACCCGAATTATCTTTTCAAGTAACTTAACGACTGTGCTAGTTAGACTGACAGGCCGGTAGTTAGACACTATCTGTCTCTGAACGTCCTTAAATATAGGACTGACTATAGCGTACTTCCAATTTCTAGGGAGTTGAGCGAGTGAAAGGGATATGTTGAAGAGTGTCGCGAACGGTTTTGAAATAATGTCTGCAAGAGATGACAGCAACCGTGGATGTAACCCGTCAGGGCCGGTATCTTACCAGGTTTGAGGTTAGTTATCAACGGAAGGACAGTTTCCTCAGTCACTTGTGCAGATTCAATGGCTGGTATCTCGGTGTGAGTGGGACAAGTATTTGTTACAATAAACGTAGAGTAGACTTCGCTAAAATAGTCTGAAAACGTCTCAGCTTTTGCTAGATCTTATTCAGCTAGTAAATCTGAATATTCGTGCAACAGTAACGGGGAAATTCCATCACCACGTTTCGTTCGCCGTTTAACATACCAAAACAATCGTTTCGGACAAGTAGGACTATCATATACCAACTGTCGTTCGAAGGAGGTTGCTAGCACTTGAAGGTCAAGATGTCGCAAGATGATTGGTGCGTCACATCGAAAATTCGTGAGGTTTTTCAGAAGCTGTCAAATCAAGACATATTTTGATTTGAATTGAGTTCAGCCACACCGTGTCTGATAACGTCCACCCTACAAGTAAGGTAGGTAATGCCATCGTGATGATGCATGATACAGGACGACGATCTCAGACAATCTGGTCACCTGAGATTAAAATATCTTGATTATTAAATCGTACATTTCAATGCTTTCTCGTAAGCGCTTTATAATAGTACTCATTTCTGCCAATAGCTATCTCTGCAAGAATACCGGCAGCCTAAAAATTGGAACTCTGTACATGAGGTAGTAAAGTTATGTTACCTTAGTCTCTGGCGAAATCTTCTCATAACTGTACCTTTTACACACGAGTGTGATTTATTTCCTCCAATATAAGGATCTGGTGACTTATATATCTTACTGTAGAAGATAATATTAACATCTTAGTATGTGTTATAATTATCTGCAGCACACACATAACATTTACAACCCTCAGGACAGCTAATATTTTCACTATTAACCTGTTTCTTCCACAAAAGTCGAGCAAAACAGTGAAAATCATCCAAAGTTGTAATAAAGAAGGGAAAAAACGATCAATCTTATCAAGGTATCTTTACTTGTTGCGCAGTTTTGGTAGCCTTGACGAAAATAATTTTTTATGACGATATATGCTTAGATCATGTTATTTCATATAAAAATAAATGATTTATCTACCCTCGGTGTATATTCAAGTGGAAATAATCACTAGTCTGCGATGCAATTACGAAAAAACTATTTTAGCAGCACCCGAATAATAAATTTTCAAGGACTTAGTGATACCATGTACTGCAAAACGGAAAAAACCCTTCTCCACTTAATTGTGAAAACAGAAAATAAACTTTCAAATTTATTTATAATTAATTTTGAATTGTGGCTGTGCACAAAGCAGAAGTAAAGATGTAGTGTAAAAAGTGTCTCGATGCCGCTAGAGCGTTGCCGGCATGTGTCCATCTCCAATATCTTTCTCACAAGCTTGTATAAACCAGTCGATTCGGTCGCACTCACCTTTCGTTGTTTTGGTACGGTTCCAGGTGTTCGTTAATGTCTGATGAGTGGTAGTCCACCACTCGACTGCACTAATTCTAGTAGGTTTGGTAGTTATTTGTCCAGTTACTGTTTGGAAAGTCTATAGTCACCTGACAAGTAATTTGTTCTGGGCTTGTGACCTTTTTTGGAGTGTCCTCGTAACTCCTCTGTTTTGGAAGACAGGAAAATTGAGGGCATATCATGTACAGATTTATCCCCAGGTAATTTGAAAACTGTAATCAACTTATCTCTAGTTCTTCGATATGACTATAGGAATAGGTTTAGCTTAGCCAGTCGAGAATCTTACGGAAGCTTCACTATTCCGGGGATAAGCTTAATTGCTGTTTTCCGAACCGTTTTTAAAAGCTCAGTTTTTTTTTCAAGCAGGGACAATCCGTTTGTATGCAGTACTTAAGTGTAGGACGCACGAATACTGCATACAAAGTCAAAAAAGTTTTAGCATCGACATGACCAAAGGCCCTAAGTATTAACCATAGGGTTCTAAAACCTCTAACGGCTATTGCACGGCAGTGTGCAGTAGTTTTTACGTCCTGACTAGCGATGACTCCTAAGTCATTGTGTATCTAGACAACAGGTAGCTTAGCGTTATTCGTCATGCATGTATCTGTACCTTGATGACCATTATATTATCACAATACACTTGGAAGTATTTATCGGTAACTGCCAGGTTTGAGAACATTCAGATAATCTTCTCAGATTGCTTTGAAGTTCCAAGCTATCACCCTTACTTCTTATCGCTCTCCATATCTTGATGTCGTCAGTATATAGCAAGACCGATGATGAAAGAGGGGAGGAAGGTAATTTACATACCAGAGGAATAACATTGGCCCGAGAACGGTACCCTGAGGCACCCCACTAAGCACAGTTTCCCAGCTAGACAACTTTGAGTTCACCCGTAATCTTCGTTGGCACCCAACTAATAAGTCTTTTATCCACACTAACAGACTGTCTCGAATCCCGAACTTTGTTAACTTGCATAACAACCGGTTGGGAAGAAGTTTGTCAAAACCTTTACTGAAGTCAAAGTTGGCTTCGTCTTTAGGTAACATTTGATCTTTCACGAGCTTTCACGAGTCACTAATAAGTTAGTGAGGCAGGAATAACCTATTCGAAAGTTATCCTGTTTTTCAGAAAGAAGCCGTACGTGAACAGCTTCTTCGAATAATCTATTCTAAAATTTTAACAACCACGCTAGTCAGACTGACGGGTCTGCAGTTCTCAGGTTTATGTTTCGTACCTGTTTTGAAGAAAAGACTTACTATGATATTTATCCAGTCTTTTGGTAATCGACCCTGGATTACGGATAGATTAAAATATATACTTAAGAGGTTCTCAACGAAGTTAGCGGGTTCCTCTAGTAACCTAGGATGTATTCCATCGCGTCCTGTGGATATGCTCATATCAAGCTTGCTTATCAGACCAAAGACATCGAGTTCTTTAATGATCACACTATCCAGTGTGTGGAGGGATATGTATGAACTGACAGGGAGGGTGTCCCTACGGTATATACATTGCTAAAGTAGTTTGAGAATACCTGAGTTTTACCATAGTCGTCCTCCAGTAATGATGAAGCATTACTGCCCCCCATGGCGCTGGAATATTTCCGCTTCTTTTAGTCCATTAGTTTCTATACGAAAACAAGCTTTTAGGGCATTCTATAGATTCTTTGACAATTTTTCTTCGTACATCCTTCTAGACTTACGGAGAGTCGAGATACAAGTAACTCAAGCTTCTCAGTATTGAGGTTTTGTTTCACCAGTACCCAGTAACCTAAATCTTCCACACATTCTTCTCCTCCAACGGAGAAGGGTGCAGATCTTCCTACTGAACCATGGTAGAGAGTTTATCGGATCCCTTGGTGTAGTCCGAGGGATGTGGAGTGCAGTAACTTTCAGGTGCTAATTTCGAACTACGTCCCAAGCTGTTTTAATTGGAGACTCTGGCCCTATTGTCCAGTCTACTGACAATACTGAGTGTATAATATCTTCTGTATTTAATTTCCAGGAGTTAGGTCTGGGTTGGGCTGACGCGTTCTGATCCTTGACAACCATATGGAAGCCAATGATTAGAACTGCATTATCCCTTTTCTCTAGAGGTAGCACGTAATCGAGGTCCGTGACCTCATCCTCATAATTAGTCAATATAAGAACTGATTAGGTTGGTTCAGAGTCCAGGCCGTACCTAGATGCTTCTTACACATGTTTCAATAGGGCACATGTGATAATCACGTCAACTAGTTTCTGGTCGAAGTGATTGTCCAGCAATTCAGTTCCCAGATTTTTACAGTGCACCGTAGGTGCAATAATGCCTCCTAGAATTAGACGTCAACCACCTCATTTACCTCACAGATTGGACTGCGGTAGCCCAATCCAATCAGCAGGTCTTGTCCCCAGCATTTCAAGCGGCAACTAACTAATTCACGCGTTCCACTCTCATGGGTTACACTGCTGATGATGGTAAATGGGATATTATTCCTAATGAATAGAGCTACTCTTCTTTAACGCTTCTGGATTCTCTCAGCTCATACTAAAGTGAAACCTTTAAATCAAGTTCCATACTGTCTATAGGCTGTATCAGCCAAGTTTCTGTGACTGCGATTACATCTGGCTTGGTAGAGTCAATCTG